TGATGTTCGATTTTTATACAAAAATTTTCAAATAAAAATGGAGCAATTAGCAAAGACAGTTTCATTTAGGAGGCATATACTCTTAATAAGTATTTAGATATAACAAATTATAAAACCTCAGAAGAGGTTTAGGTACCTGATTTGTTGAAAATTGAGGTATCTAAATAAGTTATGTCACTATGGGAAAATAAATAGAATCGAACGAGAAAAGAAAAAGTTATCGATAACAATTTTGTACCATGATATACAATATCATATATGAATCGCGAGGAATCGAAATAAATGTGTGAAAATACATCGATCAAAATAATGTTTGGCCAATTAAAAGGAGACGCGATCTTAAATTGAATTTTCTAGATAAATACGAAATTTTTGGACCTGTAGTCCGAAAATCTAAAAGTATATACTTATACGAAAATGAAATGAAAAAAATGAAGTCATATTGTGTAATGCACGACTCTCAACATAGTGAATTTCACAAAGATTGTCATGGATGAAATCATGAGTCTATATCATGTTATCTTGACGATATATGAAATTTGAAATACGTGATAGTCAACCGATCTGGCATGATTATTAATGTTATTTTTGAAAGATTTAATATGCCTGAAACATAACTCAAATGATACATACCTGAGAATCATGTTCTCAGATCATTATATTGATTAAAACAATCTGGACACGTTTTATAATGGCCTTATCAAATATTTGTTAAATGAATGCTATAAAAATGACCATATCCGCCCATAAGTTTTCATAAAAAAAACAAATATTGGATTTACAATTATGGTTTATGATTTAAATTTAATTATAACTCCTGAAGAGCTCAACAAAGCCACTGGTTATTTGAAAAATGAATTTGAGATGAAAGGTTTGGGAAAAATCAAATTTTGTCTTGGGTTGCAAATTGAACATTTCTCAGAAAGATTATTTGTTCACCAATCTACGTATACAGAAAAAAGTTTTAAAACGTTTTTATATGGATAATACACATCCATTGGCATCACCTATGGTTGTTCGATCATTCAATGTGAAAAATGATCCATTTCGTCCACTTGAAGATGGAGAAAAGGTTTTTGGTCCTGAAATACCATATCTTAGTACAATTGGAGTATTAACTTATCTTGTAAATTGCACTCGACTTGACATAACTTTTTCTGATATGCGTTTACATGTGGAGGAACGACTATATCATGAAGATCTGTGCAGCAATTATTGACAGCTACATCTTCAAATCATTCTGAAATTATTGCAATTCATGAAGCAAGCCGAGAATGTATATGGTTGAGAAACATGAACCATCATATCCAAGCATCATGCGGATTAACGTGAACAAATGATAGTCCAATAATTTTGTATGAAAATAATGCAGCTTGTATTACATAACTCAGAGGAGGCTATATCAAAGGTGAGAGAACAAAGCATATTTCTTCAAAATTCTTTCGTACATATGAGTTTCAAAAGAATGGCGACATCAATATCCAACAAATTCGCTCAAGTGATAATGTGGCTGATTTATTCACAAAAGCACTGCCAATATCTACATTTAAGAAATTAGTTCATGAGTTTGGAATGCGTCGACTCAAAGATTTTTAGTGATCAACATCAGAAGAAGTAGCCGTGCTCTTTTTCCTTCGCTTATGTTTTGTCTTACTGGATTTTCCTAGTAATATTTTAATGAGACAGTATTTATTTTTAGTACTTCAAAATAACTATACTCATTTTCCTTCGTTATGATTTTTTTCATTGAATTTTTATCAAACAAGGTTTTAACGAGACAGATATTATGTAATGTGTCATTCAAGTAGGAGTGGGCGTAGTTCGGTTTGGTCCGGTTCCAAAGGAAACCGAACCGAATACCAATGAAAATTTTAGAAATGGAACCATTGGTTCCATAGCTAACTGTGGAACCGAACCGAAACCAAACCAATCGGTTCCGATTCGGTCCGGTCCAATTCTTTACATTGAAAATGTCAAAATAAAATATTCACTAATAAAAACTCTAAAAATGCTACCAACGTGATATTTTTAACAAAATATAGAAAAACCGAACACATTATTCAAAGATTTATTTAGGTATAGATTTACAAAGTGAAAACAAAACAAAAATTTCGCATCTTATAAATGAAATTATATATTGTAAATAAATTTATTTAGGTATAGATTTACCCAATATTCAATTTGACTTGAAAATCAATTAATCAAAGAATTATAAGAAGAGACCATGAAAGAATCAAAGAGAAGAAGGAAAGTGTTGAGTCTAAAATTAAGAAGGAACCCAATTATTTTTTATAAAAGTGTTAGAGATTGAGTTATATATTTTACCAAAAATAAAAAATAAAAAAAATCCAATAAGAACTGTCTGATTCCCGCGGTTCCCATACTAGAACCAAGAACTAGACTGGAACCGGTCGGTTCTTAAAAATTTGTCCCGAAATCAAATTATTTTTTAGAAGATTCGGAACCGAACCGACCGTTCTAAACGGTTCCAGTTCGATTCCACCGGTTCTCGAAAAAAGTGTCCATTCCTACATTCAAGGGGTAGTGTTATAAAATATAAGTTTATTAGGGTTTAGAGGTGAATGACAATTACACCCCTGTAGCCCAAAAAATTATTACTGTTTTATCCCTAATTCTGCCCTATAAATATAGGGCTTTGGTTCTTAATAAAACTCACACAAGTCTATTGACTTCTCTCTGTTATCTTCTACTTTCTTTACTTTTATAACATTTTTCAATATGTAATAAATATTATAAAATTCTTCTCATGTATGAATTTCGTATTATTAATTTTCAATTAATTAACATTCACATTAATCTAGGCTCAATGAATTTTGATTTGATGAATCTTGATATATATGAATTTAGAGTTATTATAGATAAATCTATTTATATTTATGTATTTAGAAATTCTAATATATATTTAAATTCATGTATGAACAATTAATTTTTATGTACCAAATGTAGTATAAAAAGGTTGCTTATTTGTAGTATTTCATCATTACAAAAAATTTGAATTATAGAAGTTGACGTTTGCGATTACAATTTTCTTCTCTTAAATTTCTATCCTAAATTTTATTTTCTTTAGTTTGTTTGAGATTTATCAAATCCTTCCAACAAATTGAGATCAAATATTACTTTTACAGTACTTTATAAAGTATTTCAAAATAATGTACAATGAACGTTCAACTTTAATTAGTATATAAAAATGTATAAAATGAACAAAGGAGTATCTTGGTCGTAACTACTTGGATTGTACTTCACAAGCTTAGATCCAATTCCAAGCACACTGCAAGAATATGACATTATCAATTGGGCATGCAATTTTAACAATTTTATTTGTCGTATTCATTGAAAGAAAAAGGGTCTCCTTAACAAATAATTTCTACCTTCCTAATATTGAAAAATATTACCTAACCATGCATGTAATTCTGAAATTATGTATCTATAATGTTGATTACATGTTAATAACAAAGCATTAATTAATTTGTGCTTCATGCTTAAATATATGCTACACGCATGTCCGATAAGTGATATATAGGCTTAAAAAAAGTAGACGATAAATTGAAATAAAAATGAATTGCTAATATAAATTGAAGTTCAAAGTAGTACGCATGCCGTGACATGTATGTCACAAATTATGTTTAAGTTCTTCAACAATGATTCAAATATTACTGCATGATAATATAAAGAAGAAAGTGACATAAATATATTTCATATCGTTTTCTCAAACTGTCTATCTAATTTAAATGTTAAAACTCACCAATGTCTTCTAAAACGAGAATTAATAAAAATTATAATCATAACTTAATCTATTTTTAATTTGTTGGTCAAATTCAAACAATTTGGTTAGTAATTTTTACATAATATTAGATATCAATAATATATTTAATTTAACTTATTCTATGATAGAAAATGCCAAATTTGAAAATATAATCTAATATCTAAATTTGACTTCTTGTAACACCATTACACCAAAACTATCAAAAAAAATTAAAATGAGTCAAAGTTGAGTAATACATTCCAAATGCCTCAGTCCATAACACCCACTAATCAATTCTATATTTTGAATGAACCGCCCCCCGGGGCATAGCCCAGTGGTGCAAAGGATAGGAGTGAAGTTATTTCACGTCTTGATGACAGTCGCAGTGTGAGGATTTGATTTCTGAAACGTGGAATTGAAATTCTTGTAGACGCAGTATACAGACAGCTCTTGTTCTTTGGTTTGTTGAGGCACATTCTGCGATTTACCTCCCTCACAAGGCTCGAGGGGCGAGTCGGTGGGGACCTTCAAAGTTGGGTTCAACCTTTATAATTTGAATGAACTTAAAAGGACATTTGGTGTATTAATTGAAATAAAACAGAACTTTGTCTCCTTTGAAACATCCCCATCAATAGCCTCTAAACCCTAAAATTAAGGCAGCATCAAAGCTTTTATTTAGAGAAATACTATTTAGCAACTAGTGTTTAATACCAATCTAGGTGATAGTATTAGTTACATTAAATTATGAGATCAATTAAATGAATCACAAAATTTCACTTTTAATTGAACATATTACATAATGTAATATAGGTCAGTGCTCTAGCGCAATGGGGCGGGTAATACTCAATTAAGTGCGTAGTCCCTGTCCCGAACTTTTGACATCCCTAAACGCGTTGGTTTTGTAAATCACGTACTTGATACAATTTCATATAGGTTGGACTTCTTTAGTTGTCAACTTCTTGTTACATAAAAATATTGGAACTTTGAGAATACAATAAAAATGGAAAAAATATGTACAAAAAATTAAGTCCACTGTCTTCAGCTGTTCCCAGGCAGGCAGGCCGGCCGGCTGCCCTCCTCTACCTCATAACCTTCTCATGCATATATAATACAAGTGCACACTCTTCCAATTCAGTTTGAAACAACTCTCAAACCGTGCAATATTGTAGCTAACGTGTTAAGTATCCACAAACAGACGTACGACTTTGTACTCGTATTGCATGCACGGAGATAGAAGATGAGGCAACGGGGGGCTTATTCGGGGCTAAGAATATCAGGCAAAACAGGACCTCATTCTTTGCCACTAGCTAGAATCAAGAAAATAATGAAGAATTCGAGCGACGAAGTGAAAATGATATCTGGTGAGGCCCCCATTGTTTTCTCCAAGGCATGTGAACTCTTTATAGAGGAATTAACCAAAAGGGCTTGGATGACGACAGTGCAAGCAAAGAAAAGGACACTTCACAAAGAAGATGTGGCTTCTGCTGTTATAAACACTGATATTTTCGACTTTCTTGTCAATCTTGTTTCTGAAAATTCTGGTAAATCATCTGAGGACCCTCAGCCTGTAATGAAGGCGTGAACAGTATGTATAAGTTTTCTTCTAATAACATATATGAAAACCTACGTTAAAATTGAACAATTCTACTTCTCCCGAGTGGTTAGGGTTTAGGAATTGTTGCTTCCACTACTGAGGTCAATGATCTATACTTTTACGTAAATTAGGTTTAACTAATTAATATATTTAAGCTGTTATAATTTCTTTGATTTTTAGATATTTGATCTTTAACTGAAATTCTGCAACTAATAGTTTGCAATTTATAGGATCTGTTGGTGTATGATTTTTGAATGAAGTTTAAACTTAATTTGACATTCTTCTCCGTTTAAATATGTTGTCCCGATTTGACTATTTTAATTGTTGTTTCACCACTCTCGACAAAGTGATAGTCAAGTCGGAACGATAAATTTGGACTTTATTTTTTATTGAATTTGTTTCAAATGAACTTATCATTTCCAATGAGGGAGAGAGAAAAAAAAAAAGGATAAGGAAACAAACAATTGATTGACTCCTGAGTCCGTCTTGCCATTCCCAATTCAAAAACAAAGGGAAAAAAGAAGTATAGTCATGAAAGTTAAAATAAAATATGAGTAATACTTTTAGAAAATAAAAGAAATGTTACCAAAAAAATAAATAAATTAAATAAAATAAATTAAACATTAAGTCCCTATTTGGTTAACTTAAAAAATGGATAAAAATCTAAATCAAAGTTAACAATTAATTTTAACTAAACATTTTATGGAATTCATTTTTTTTTTTTTTTTTTTCAATTTTCAATTTTCAATCAAATATTTTATTAAGCCCTTGTTTGTTGACCTTTAAAAAAAAAATTAATATTATTTTTTAAAGAACATGTGTTTAAAAAGTAGAAAAAATTTATGGATTTACGTGTAAAATGTTTTATTGTGTAAATGTATAGTTAAAAATGAGTATGAGAAACAAATTAAAGACCACCAAGAAGGAGCTAAATTTTATCAAAATCTACTTAAAATCAACTAAGGGTGAAGTGTTTTGATAGTTTTTCTTCCGGTTTTAAGTTATGTGAAAATCATGTTTAATTTTAATATCTAGCCTGTTTGGGAGTGATTTTAAAAATTGATTTTTTGACAGTTAGGAGAAATGTGGGGTCCAGTTGTGAGAGAAGAAATCAAATATGACGACTGAAACAGTGAAATAACGGTCAAAAAATCAATTTTTAGGGGGAAAAAATCACTTACAAATGGGCTGAGGAATTCATATATTTAAATAAATTGAGGACTTAGAATTTTACTTTAAAGGTTGGAGATCAAAAACCACATTACCTAAAAAGCCAAGTAGCCAACAACTTTAACGGTGCAAGAATCGTTTCTTGCCAATAATGCTATTTTTGTCATATGACTAAAAAGCTAGTGGAATTACGAGGACGATGTGTTTTCAAGATCTCTATTCAATACTTAAAAGTTACAATTTTTTTTTTCCAAAAATCAGATATAGGGCTTGTTTGAACCACATTATTTAAAAAAAAAAATACATTCTTTAACAGTGATTTGACATCATTTCAACCACACATTTTTCAATAAAATAATATTACACGCAAATCTAAAAATTTTCCTTACTTTTAACCACACATTTTTCATTGATTTGATATGAATAATGCATTTTTCCTAGAATGTGGCTCAAATATGGACATAATCAAAATTTTAAATATTAATAATATTATTAAAAAAAAAAAACTTATTAACATACTCCCATCTACCTCACCTCACTCATAAACCCTAAATTTATCTTCATTACTCTCTCTCCTTTCTCTATATATCTCACCATTTCTCTCTTATCTTCCTCTCCCGACTTTATACAGTCTTCCTCAATCGTCATCGTCAGAGAGCGCGTCAGTGAAGATCGTCTCTCTGCCATTTTCAATGTGATTGCCACCGATAAAAAAGTCATTCCTTGGTTGCAAATCGCGCAGGAGGCTCTGCAAATCAACGAGTAAAGCTATTCCTTCATTGTGAGCACCGTTGGAGACTTTGCGGATCCAATTGCAGTGGCCCAAATCACAGCTACAACGACTTAGATGTGGCTACAGCGGAGTAGATCGGGATCATGATAGATCGTGGTGGTGATATTTTTTTTTTGTTGCTCGATGGGTGGTACTGATTTCCATGCTTTGGTGGTGTTGGAGTTATAAGATGGCGATGGTGACGACGATGAGGTGTGGTGGTGGTACTGCATGCGGTTGTTGTGAGATATTGACGGTGATGATAACAATGGAGATGACGGTTAATGTTGTGGTGGCGTTGGTGAAGGCAGTAGGATTTTGTCGATTTTGGGGTTTTTTGTTTGGCGAAGGCAGTAGGATTTTGTCGATTTTGGGGTTTTTTGTTAGCAGTGGTGTAGCTGGATCTAGCGATGTATGTTGGTGGTGGACTTTTGCAATGGTATGGTGGTTTAATGGTGGATCTGGAGCTGTTGGCGGTGGTGGTTGCAAGCTATTGTGGCATAGGTGGTGCTATAGCACCATGGTGGTGTTGGTGGCAATGACTGAGGTCAAGTGTGACCAAGAGTGTTTGTAACCGGTTAATTGGTTGATTGTAACCAATATATAATATGTAGCCTAAAAATGTGATTGTGACTCACAATTTATTAATTTGTGACCAAAAAATAACTTCTAACCAATTAATTTGATAATTTGTTACTGTTAATATAAGTTGTGACTTGTAAAATTTATGATTTGTGATCGATGAACTTTTTAATTTTGTGGTCGTTAAGTAAATTCTGACCTATACAATTTTTGATTTGTGATCGGAAAATAAACTGTGACTTATAAAAATTTTAATTTTTGATTGAGATATAATTTGTCACCTGTAAAATTTTTAAATACTATTTAATTAATAAAATATATTTTTAATTAATTATTTCACAAATAAAATTTAATTTTTGAAGTTTTAAATATTATTATTTATTTTTAAAATGGACCATACTTAAACTCTTAGATATAAAATTTTCCAAAAAAAACTATATCCTTGCACTCCTATAAATTCTGTGGGCTGGTCTTCTCCTCTGGGCAACAATTCTTGTAAAAGCCCAAGCACAATAGGAAACCTCCACCCCCCGCCCCCCGTCCCCCCAAGGCCCAACCCCAAGAATCCACATCTTGAAAAATAGGGTGTGAACAGAAAATATGGTTCGCAATTCGAATCTTTTTTTCTTTTTTTTTTAATTTCATTTACATGTTTTTCCATTTAAATTATAAAAATAAAATTAATTAAACGAGATGATAAATGTATCTATTTTAATCTCTACCTAGCTCCTATTTCGCCTTCTGAAATTCCCCATTGAGAGAGGGATGGGAGCACTCCATTCCGCCTAGTTGCCATTCCTTCGACCCTTTCCAAACCTTAAAAGATGATTTTTTTTTTAATTCTTTTAATATAATGATGTAAGAAAAAAGTAGTAAATTAATCAATTTACAGAACTTAGACATCTTTCAATCAAGAGTATAATATTTCTAAGTAAAAAAAGTCCGATGAAATATACGTCAAATCAAATTAACGGTACAAAACTACACAATACAATAAATTTTTGTTTCAATGAAGACGTCCGATTAGATTAATGATACAAAACTAAACAATAAAATTTCGTTTCAGTGAATAATATGGACCAAACATGGAATCCCGAGAATTTAAATGCAATTCTTGTAGCTATGCTTTCGACAAAAAGTAAGCAATATACTATGAGTATATCCAAAAAAATCCTCTAAACATAAGATACTCTCTAAAGATAAAGTACTCTATACTTTAGAGAGTCAATACTTAAAAAATGAGTTCCCAAAGACTTTATTTTAGCATTTTAAAATAGGGAGTGCGTTTAACTCTTCAAATTTAGAGTCAAACTCACTTTCTATTCTTTAATGTCCAACGATTGCATTAAATACATTACAAATTTCAATACCACAAAACATTTATTATTCAAAATACATTTGAATTGATTGGCCATGAACATATAAAAAAAAAATTATGATAAGTAAGATGTGGGAATAAATTATTTTTTGAAAAAAACAGAATAAATAGTCAAAATAACAAGCTAGTTGGAGTACATTAAAAAATAACAAACCTTTCAAATCGTTACAGCCGTCAGTCCGAACCTTTCAAATCGTTACAGTCGAGGCTCCAACGGACGGTTTCCATCCAATTTGGCTTTAGTTGACCAAAAAAATTAATTTTGTATTAATTTTATTTTTGATTTACGTTTTCTATTATTTTATGGGAAAAAAATACTAAAGTACTATTTTGCCATTTTAAAATTGATTAGAAGGTATTAATTTTATTTTTGATTTACGTTTTCTATTATTTTATGGGAAAAAAAATACTAAAGTACTATTTTGCCATTTTAAAATTGATTAGAAGGTGGTATAAGTTAATTTTTTTGGTCAACTAACGCCAAATTGGATGGAAATCGTTTGTTGGGGCCTCAACTGTAACGATTTGAAAGGTTTGGGGTGACGGCTGCAACGATTGAAAAGTTAGGGGAAAGTCTGCCACTGTTTGAAAGGTTTGGGGCCTGAGCTGCAATTATCCCTTATCAAAATCTATCTCTTTCTTTTGCCCAAATTTCGAATTATCTAAGTATTCTTAATAAATTAGATAAAGTTGACAAGAATTTTTTGTCGATTTAAATGCCCTAGTATTCCTTGTTAGTGCAAACAATAAATGTTGGAATTGGTTAATCATAAAATCGTGGTATTATATTTCGAACTTTATCCAATAGTCAAATTATGAAAATATATAGGCTAACTTGTTCTACTCGTCAAGTAAATCGGTGTGGTATGTTTGAAATCTCAAAGTCAATTACGAATGAATGAGAAATTATGGTCCAAAATTGAAATGAAAGGACAATTGGCTGGGTATCTACTCAACTCCATTGCTCACCTATTGATCGAACGGTAAGCGGGCGATTCAACTGTAGCTCGAGTGATAGATGAGCAACATTTTTTTTAATATAATTTTTAGCGCTCTAGCGATGCACAGGTGACAGGCAAGGGACAGTAAAGGCTGCGAACTTTGGCAAAGGTTGCTGAGTTTTGAGACGTGTATATTGAATGCATACCCTTTCAACCTTTTTTTTCTTTATTATTATTATTATTAATTTATTATTATTATTATTATTATTTTTTGAATATCTGGTTTTGACACAAAACCATTTTTAAAAATTAACAGCGTACATCATATAATTGCATAATCAAATGGTTAAAGTTTATGTCCCATCACAAAATTTTTTGTCTAAACATTTTGATATTTTAAAATTTTGTAGGTATTGCAAAAGTTTTTTGCCAATTATAAAGTTAGAACATTAGTCATATTATCATACTAAAAGTGTAGATTTTAAATTTTAATGCCGTCGTGTTAATTGATATTTATTAAAGTTAACTTATATATAAATATTACTGAAAATTGAACATTATCAAAATTAAAAGATCTTAAATTTGACTTAATTACTTTGTTTAAACTATAATTCTTTTCTCGTATCGTATTATGCAAAGCGTGTTTGGAAAACTAACTTTTGGTTTTAAGTTAAAGGGCGCAGAGGAAGGTCAGTACGAAAAGCAAGCGAGCCCTTAGGTTTTCGGGGCATTGGATTCGCACCAATGTTTGCGTTACTCAAGAACTCGAAAGTCTGTTATCCTTTAATTTAGAACCCTTGGAACATACTATAGCCCTAGGTGGCGAAGAGCCGACATCGAGGTACTAAACCTTCCCGTCGATGTGAGCTCTTACGAAAGATCAATCTATTCCGGAGGTTCCAACTACAGGAGAAACAGGAACGGAGAGCTTTTCCCCCTTTCATTACCAATTATTTCTATAATTTTCTATCATTATCTCATTTTGGCTTTCACAGGATTATTAGAAAAGATGTGCATGTCTCCAAGACACATAATCTAATCAGATCGAATCTAATCGAAATAAAATAAATATGTTTACTTGAATGCTAGGCAAATCAAACCAATAGACTAAAGGCATTATTACTTTTCGACAAATTAAATAAGATATAACTTTTTATATTTTGTCATTTTGGATTTATTTAATAAATATAAATTATGCATCAATTTTTTGCATTTTAATATTCACATGTGCACATACTTTCCATTTTAAATTTAATTTGATGTATTTATATTCAAATAGATTGGATAATAATTTTGGTGCATTAAATTAAGGAATTTGTAATATATTTGAAGTCGTCATTCTCAATAAAACAAAAAGGATAAAAATCCAATTTTATGAATTTAAGTATGCCATTTATTTATAGAAGTGACAGAATTTAGCCATTGTTTTGAGATGCTTACTTATTGTCAATTCAATTCAATATTTAATATTTGAGACTTTTAGTTCTTCATCATCAA